TCGCAACTCATAACTGAGAAAAAAAAGGAAAGAAAGTGTCCTCAAGATGGGGCATTTCATCAGCAATGCCTGAAAGGGGAACCAAGTGCAGGAAAATAGAACCGAGTGGCCTGTGCAAGCGCCCTGTGTGCGCGGCCCTGTGCGTGCTAGTGGGAGACCCCGTGTGAGTGAGCGGCCCTGCCTCAAGCTGAATGGCTTGTATTTTGCAGACAGTTGTTATCTGGTAGAAACTTTCTGTTCATCTGCTTTGCTTCGAAATAGTTTAAACCTGGTCTTCCATCCTTTTTGTCGCTGAGTTTTAGTCCATGTCTTCTCTAAAGACATCTTAGCAGTTTCCTGTGTCCTGCATGCTCTCTAGATCAGGGGTAGCTGTTGAAATAACATGTCCATGACAATATCCGTGGTTCTCCTGTTTAGTCGTGGGTTCTGTGGCCCTGTCTGTCCTTTGCACTGTGTTCTAGCCCCCATTTTCCCCTTCTGCTTTGTGCACGCTTGTGCAGTAGGCTCCCTTGGCTCCCCAAGCCTCCCCCGTCTTACAACATTTTCTTTCTTCCTTCTTTTTGATGGTCTTGTTCCCAGTTAAGATAAAATCTCACCTCTGGCTGGTCTAGAACTCAGCATGTAGACCGGACTGGCCTCTGACTCACACGTGCTGAAATCAAACTGTATGCCATCACCTCTGGCTCTTTTAACTTTTTTGTTGCTGTTTTTAGAACAAGGTTTGGCCATGTAGCCCAGGCTGGCCTAGTATTGCCATGTAGTCCAGGCTGGCCTAGTATTTTCTATGTATCCCGGCTGGCTAGCACTTAGTTACATAACCCAAGCTGGTTACATAACTCCCAGTAATCCTCCTGCTTTAGCCTCCTAGATCCTGGAATTACAGGTACACACTATCACACCCAGCTTTCTCGCTGCATTTCTGGAATGCCATGTATACAGCTAGCCCACAAGAAAAGAATGACTACCATGCTTTCTCAGTGCATACCTAGTTGTCCGGTCTGGGATAGGATGGCCTTGAATAGATTCTCAACCAGTGGCTTCTCTGCGGGACCTGGAAAATTCCAGAAGTGCTCATTGGTCCTTCCCTCTGAATCCTTGCTGCAGAGATCCTCATGGATGCTCCTCTAAGGTTTTTGTTTGTTGGCTTTTGGGTTTAGTGGTTTTATTCATTCGCTTTTAGTAATTACCGCCAAGGCTCAGCTCCCTCACTCTGTTGTATGAAAATCCATTCCCCGGGCCAGTGAGGCGGCTCAGCAGGGGAGGGCATCTGCCAGCGAGTCTGATGATCTGAGTCCAATCCCACACCGTGGCAGGACTTCCACAAGGTGTCCTTTGACCTCCACACACTCGCTGTGGCAGGTGCATGACCCCCTCCAACACACACACACAACAACAACACAAAATGGATGAACAATATCAAAAGAAAAGTCCATTCGTGCAAAAACAACAGCACTTCTTCTTAGAATTCTGCTAGGTTCACTGGCAGTAATCTCTTCCCTGGAGGGAGAAGAGGCCCCAGCAGTCTTCCTTCCCTGCACAATGATTCTCACTGGCCTTCCTGGGTCACCGTGCCCCTCCTTGGCGTCTCTCCATGATCCTCAGTCATCTGAACGTTCATCTGTGACTGCTCACTGTGTCTGACAGCCAAGCAGCGTTCAGGCTCCTGTCCACTCCCACCAAAAGATGAGCTAAGTTCCTCTGTCCCGGCCCTCAGGGCCCTGCAGGGGGCAGGGGGCTTCCCAGGATGCTGGCTCTGTGCTCCCCAACACTCAGGATAGCATGGAGTGAGGAACGATTTGTTTCCCTGTGCGGTTCTTCTGCCTCAAGCTTTCTCATCCCACAAGGTCTTTACTCTTCCAGGAAGTCCCACTCATTCTTCAAGGTGTAAATCAGGATGGGAATGACTGCTGCCCGTGGTGTGCTCCGTGCCCTCCCTCAGAGATGTGTGTTCTTCCTCTTCAGCACGCTTCCCTCATCTTATAGCATCTCTTACTTTATGCGAGTGTCTTCCATGTCTCTGCTAGGGAGCTCAGTACCTGGCCTGGATTGGACTGTGGTTGATTGTTACTAAATGTACAAAGAAGAAAAAAGAAGTTTATGGAGATAGAGGTGGGGGCAGAAGGGAGTGGTGAGAGGGGTGTTCTCTCATTTCTTGCTTGCTCCAGCTCAGCTGAATGCAAATGCAGCATGTGTAAATGCCAAATGGACTGGAATTAAAAGAAGTGTAGCATAGGAGGCAAGGGGCCTTACTGAGTTAAAATTTGGGACTGAGGTGGCTTGAAAGCATCCCCTGAGCGCTGGGGAGAGCATCTTCTAGCTGTAGGGAACGCACACAGTAGCAAGAACCCTGTGACTGACAGGAAGCCTGCTTCCCTTGCTCTTGACTAGACCGGAGCTGGTGTGATTCTTTCTTCCCCCTGAGCAATTTCTAGTATGCAACACACCGACCTCAAGTGCGACAAACGGTGCCTCTCCCAAGCCTGGCAGGGCTGGAGCGGTCAGAAGGGCCAGAGAGCGACACGGTTGCTTCTGTGCCTCCTTCCGAAGCAGAGACCATTCTGCTTCTCATCACAGAAGCCCTGGCCAGCTCCTCGCCCACACATCCCTAACACAGCCCACAGCATTCGGGGAGGATTCCCTGCCACACAGTGATGACATTCAGCTAAGCCACAGTTTCCTTGACCCAAGGAGGAAAGCCGTGTGCGGTTTGGGGCTGGGGGTGTGGATGAGCAAGCGCGGATTTTTTCCCCATTGCCCGATGGCTCTAAATTGCAACCTCTCTTTTCATTTTCCATTATGCCTCCAACACATCTGTGCCAGAACTAGACGAGTGGATTCTGTCTGGGAGGATGATCCAGACAGCTATAAATTAGAGTTTGTGTTCAGAGATTCCAAAAATGTGGCCTCGTGGTAGGGTGTCCCTGAGACTAGTCACCTCCTCCATAGTCTGTGTGGTGGCTGCTGGTTTGGGCCCAGGGCCTCTGTCAATAGATTTTGCTTTGTGTTTGGAAACTCTGTCTTTCCATTAAGGTACCAGAGAGACGTGAAAGCAGGGAAGCCTGTGAGGTTTGCTGGGCAGATTCATCCCAGGTCGTCCCAGGCATTTCTAGGGACAGGTTTGACCAAGGGCAATGCTCCTCCCTGCACGTAACAGCCAGGACCCCAAAGCTGGCACCTTCCTGAGTTAAGCACAGACCAAGAAGACTTTCCATTTCCCATATTGGGCATAAAAGCAAGTATGCAAACCTCTCAAAATCTAGGTGTTTAAGCCTCGAAGACTGATGCATAATTGATGTAGAACCTTAGGAGACGGAAGGGAACCGTCCCCTGGAATCCCACCCTTCGAAGATAAATAATGCTGTGTCTTAGTGTGACCTCATCTCATGTTTCCATGTCAGCCTCCTCTTTAAAACGCCTCGAAAAGTCAGTGGAGGTCAGCTGTTTTAACTTCCCTGCGAATTATCCAATTAATGCTCTCTCTAAGGGCTGGGAAGCCTTAGTTACTCCACACAGGAGTAGCCAGCTGGTGGAAGCCAGGCACCCACTCCCCCTCACTAAAGGCAGGCCTGCACAGTTCTGAAGAAGCCAGCCACACTGGGATTTGGCCTTGGGAAAAGGATATGAAGAGGAGGAAAGCCCTCATAGATATATCGAGGTAACCTTCCCAGGGTGGCACCAGATCCCTCTCAAGTAACCCTATAAGAGAGAAGGAACCTGCCTAGGAAGGCCTCTGGCCTAACCCTGGCTGGAGATTTCCTTATTACACCTCTGCCCTGCATTTCCTCTTTGGCTTCTGCTGCCAGCATCTTTTCAGATAGGAGCAGACCCTCCCTGTCTGGTGAAAGGCTAGGGCCCAGGATTAACTGGAAGAGTTAGATAGGCAGGATGCTATTTTTACATCTCTGCTGACTTCCCCATAGTGCTTTGCACTCACAAGGTTCCCCGTAAATAACCGTTAATTGATTGATACAGCCATATTCAAGAGTGGTGTTTGGAGAGAAAGGCCCTTGGCTGGAAACTGCTGGCCTGTGGTTGGGACAGTCCTGCAATTGACATAGAGGGCTGCCAGCTTGGACATGGAGCCTGCGACAGCCTTCAGCCTCAGGAGAGGAAACCTGGTGATGACTCTACCAGCTGCCAGCCTGCCCAGCCTGCCCAGCCTGCCCAGCCCGTGCCTGTGCCAGCCACTCAGCCTCTCCATGAGCCACATGGCATACAGACCCTGCCTTTTCAGAAAAATATTTTTTTTCCTTTCTCGCTTTCCATGGAAACTCAAAATAGCAACAACAACCAAAAAAAAAAAAAAAAGAGGCCCTCCTTCCCTGCTTGCTTGCAAAACCATGCTTGGACAGGGGCAGGGCAGTGGTCACCATGTAGGAAACAAAAAGAGGTGGTCACAGGAGTCTCTGAGCAGAGCTCTAATGGGAAACTTCGTCATGAACTGTAGGTCGGCTCACTGTGTCAGTGTAGGTTGGTTTGGTTGGGTTTTTTTTTTTTTTTCTTGGTTGTGTGTTTTTGCTTTTTCTAATTTAGAAGGTGGCTTCCCTCAGGTCTTAGAGTTCATCTTGTTCTCGGTGACCCCTCCCGGAGACAGTGGCCATTCACTAAGGTGTTGGTGAGGACGTCCAGCACAAGCAACAACAGTGCGAGGGACAGATGACTGGCGCGGAGAATGTTGTTGGAACAGTGGTTTTGACACGCACTGCCATCCCGTGGGGGCCAAATAACCACAGGAAAGCCCGATGGCACAGCAGACCCTGTGACTGGAATCAAGACAGGGCAGAGGCAGTCAGTTACTTCAGGGCCGTGGGGAGGTGGGCACCGAGCCCATGTTTTCACCTCTAAGCCTAGTAAGACATGAAGAGCGGGCACGATGCTCTCCACAGGGGCAACCCCTCCAAGCCTCCTCCAAGCCTGGGCACCCTGTGCCCGCGGCCTGCTCCCCAGCCTCTGTGTGCACCCTCCCGTCCACAATAAACACACTGTTGCTTCTCTTGCAGCTGGCCGGATCAGCGGTCATTGCATTTGGACTATGGTTCCGGTTCGGAGGAGCCATAAAGGAACTGTCGTCAGAGGACACGTCCCCCGAGTATTTCTATGTAGGTAAGTGACTTCAGTGTCCCTGGAGTTCGGGTCTGTGGGACAGGGCCCTGAGCCTCTCTACTGCCACACTTCACCGGTCCTGGGGAAAGCGCCTCTATGACCTCTTCCTCCTCTCTCGGGGAAAGAAGACCCCAGTAAAACTGATTTGTTTACTTAACGAAGCTTCAAGGAAATGTAACTAAGATTCATCTGAAGGAGTTAGGAAGCGTCCTTTGTCTCTGGAGAAGCCCCCTGGTCTGTTCAGAGTGTCCAGGGGACCCTGAGGAGTCAGCATCTAACTTTGTGATGTGAGGTTTTAACATGCAAGCAACTCAAAATGAAGAGATGCCCTAGAGTTTTGAGGTGCTGTGGTGGTTTAAAAGAAAATGTCCCCCATAGTGCTCATAGGGAATGGCACTGTTGGAAGTGTTGGAGTAGATATGGCCCTGTGGGAGGAAGTGTGTCACTGGATAGATGCAGGCTTTGAGATCTCAGAAGCTCAAGCCAGGCCTAGTGACTCAAGATCTCTTCCTGAATGCTGCCTGTGGATCAAGATGTAGAACTCTCAACTCCTTCTCCAGCACCATGTCTGCCTGCACACCACCATGCTTCCCTCGGTGACAATCATGGATTAAACCTCTGAACTATAAGCCAGCCCCAGTTAACAGTTTTCCTTTATGAGAGTTGCTGTGGTCATGGTGTCTCTCCGCAGCAATAGAAACCCTAACTAAGATAGGTACTAATCTCAAAACTTCCATGAGTAGAGACTGCTAAGAGACGGGAAGGACCAAATAGGAGGGATGGGAGGGAGCTGTCCCTGGAGAAGAGGTCCAGACAGAGGGACCACAGCTACACCGACCGCCAAGAGAGGAAAATGAGGTGAGGAGCATGGTGACAACCAGATAAAGCTGGAACTCTTACCAGGGACTTCAGTTCTCTAGTATTTTAGCCCTGCTCTGCCTTCCTGTGGCCACTCCAGCACTGTGTCCTCACACAGCAGAATCCGCAGGAGGACAGGGAAGTTTCACTTCATGTGTCCTCTCCCAGAAGTCTCCTCTTGCAGCCTAATGGCCAGAAACGCATCATATATTTATGCCGAAACCAACCATGGCCCAGAATAGGATGCCAATGGCTGTGTCTGTAATTTTTGGTCCTTTGTTGCCTTGTGGTGCCTGGTGCTGCTTCTACAAAAGCCCAGTCCTCCAACTTCTGAGCACTGACTCTGTGCCTGTTTACTCTTGCTCGCCATGGGCTAACAGAAAGGGAGAATATGACCGAGGAGCCAAGGTGGCAAAACCCATACTTATGCCCCACAGCATCAAGGATGGGAAGAAGGCATCCGGCTGCTGGTGGGCTGGTTTACCCCTCTGGCTCTGCTGGGTAGCTCGTTTATTCTCAATCCAATTAGCTCAAGGGTGCGTAGGCCAACAGCAACTGGCCACATACGTGGGTTGGGGACAGGCAGAGGTGTTGTTAGGCTGAGGAGGGGAAAGGGCTCTGTGGAAGTGAAAGAGCGTGTTCCACTGGAACTGGAAGTGCCTAGGGCTTCTGGCGGTCATTTTATCGTGGCGGGAGGAGACCTGCCGAAACATGCTACAGAAAGAAAGTTGAGGCCAGACGGCCATAGGCTGGATTCTGGCCATATCATTTGAGGCCCTGAGATGAGTACACTAGCCTGGACTTTAGTTATGTGACCCACTAAATCTCCATTATATTCAAGTCCATTGGAGCAGGTTTCCGTAGTTCGTCATCCTAGAAAGATTCCAGACACACCCGGCCACACAAATATGACATGAAAACACAGCTCTCATGTCTCAGGCCATGTGTGTGCCTCTTGACTTAGCTCGGAAAACAAGGCAGGGATGTTTGAGTAGAGCATCTCACCCTTCTGCTCAGCACAGGAAACTCACGGATTGGTAAGTACCCAACCCCGATTTTTGTCACACTGGTTAAATGACAACATAAAACAGAGCCCACTTTTGCCTGCCTTCGTGTGTTCAATGTTTTGGAGTTAATAGATCACTACAAGATGTTTGTAGGTTGAACCCAAAGCTGTATCTGTGGACCTTGACTTACACCTCATACCTGAAGCATCACACATGGAGCTGCTCCTGGGTCACTTGTCCATCTCCAGCCCCACAGGACCACCCTTCTTTCTGCTGGGTGGGGGCACATCCTCACTCATCTGATCTGGGGGAGGGGAGCTGGTGCTTGTATGGTTTGACTTTGGGGGCTCTTTGAGGCAGGATCTCATGTAGACCAGGCTGGCTGACAATGACTTTGAACTCCTGATCCTCCTGCTTCTACCTCCAATGTGCTGGGATTGCAGGATTACAGGACTGGGCCACTGTGCCTAAATGCTGTGTGTATTTTTCTTTAGACTATGTTTCAGAGTTAACAGCTCATACTCACTGCCCATTGTGTTAAACGCTGTTCTAAACAGGCTTAGCATGTCTAAGTGGTTGAGTCTTCAAGATTTAAAGCCATAGCCAGGTGCAGTGGTACCTACCTATAGTCCCAGTTTCTTGGGAAGATGAGGAGGATCACAGAGAAGGGAAGGAGAAGAGGAATCACTTGGCCTAGTGTGAGGAAACCTCCAGGAAGATACAGTACATAGCTCCCTGCTTGTGGGTAGAAGGCAGGCAGGCTTTGTAGGATTGCCCGTGTCTGCAGGGATGGTCTCACTTCTAGCATCCTAGCCTTTCTCCATGCTAATGGAGTTTCTCTCCATCCTAGTACTTTGAACCAAATGTTCAAGCTGGACAGAGAAGCAGGCAGTAGCCAAAGCAGGAAGAGATGGTTGCGGAAAATGAGGCCAGGGAGAAAGGGTAATCAGACTGAGTGCTGCCTGCTGCCACCCTTTAGTGTCTCTCTGGGCCCAGGCCAAGGCCTGGAGGCTGACCCAGGGTCTCTGTGTTCCTTGGTTGCTTAGGTGAGGAAGGAAGAGGATGGCAAGGGTGGAGCTGGCAGCGAGGGGCTTAGGTTACTTGGGGTTTCCTAGACCTTCTCCACTCTTGTTTCTTCCACGGAACTCTTGGGAAAAGCCCCTGCATCCTCCCCATCCAACAACCTGCCCATCTGATTTCCTGTGCCAGTCTGCCCCAGTGTGCTGGCTGAGCAGATGCCTCAGGGTCTTCCTTCTCGGAGCACAGAGTGGGGAGTGGTCCTCCGTGCCTCAGGAAGCTGGAGCCTGGGCTGGAGCACATGAGCTCATGTCTGTGAGCAGAGGATGTGAGCAGGTTTCTCCATTGGGGGTGCCCACATAAACAGGAGCCACAGCCTCGCTGCATCTGTCTCTCCCTGCTGAATTCCGAGCCCTAGAGCCTGGCTTTTGCTGTGGCCGGAGGTTATGTGGAAGGAAAGTGTTCTGCCGCTAAACGTCCAGGGCTGGCTTGCCTTTAAAAACACTCTGACTCATTCTGGTAATATTTTTTAACTTCATACCTGACACCATGCTAGCTGGATAACAGAGAGAGACTAACTACCATGTCTGGACAGTGACTCCCAAAGCCATTCTACAAGACACCAAAATAGATAATCATCCCAGCCCTGAAGAGCACAACTCCAAAGGAGAAGACTTACCTACAACCAGTTTGGTGGCCCAGAGTTCTAGACCCTAGCCTGTTCTTTTGGGGGACAACGCCCAGGTAGACCTCAGGAACCTTTCTCAATAATTCCCCTACTATTTATACATTGACAGATTTCTAGCTAAGAAACCCACTGCTCTGAGTCTCTGCTGAAAATGTAGCATGGGGGTTTGGGTACACACTCTGGCTCGTTTCCAGTTAACCCCCTAGAGCCATGCAGCTTTCACTTGCTGTACTTCTGCTTCCTTAGCTGTGAGTGGTGAACCTGTGCAAGTGCAGTGCCGACCTCACTAGGGGTGAGTTGTGAGCACACGCTGCTTGCTGTTCGCCTACTACAGGGGCTGAGGACCAAAGGCCACCTGATGAGGGAAGACAGCGTGAGGAGATAGAGGAGCCGTTGGGGTGGGCTTAAAGACCAGTTTACAACGTGGGCTTTGTCATCAAGCAGGTTCTTGAGGTGGTATGTGTGTCAAGTGTAGAGTATATGTACCACTCAGCGAGGGCTGGGGCACCAGGAAGAGGTCCTTCCCGCCAGAGGTGCGGAGTGAGACGCATAAAGCTCCTAACTGTAGCTGCTGCTGCTACTGAGAAAGCACCAAGTAGTCTTTTCCTTTTCCATGAACTCACACTCAACTATAACTCTAAGCACATAGATACAGCCAACCCTTAGAATTAGGGCACTCCCATCCATTGGCTCAGCATCTACAAATTCAAGCAACCCCGGATCAAAGATTATTTTTAGTTCATCTCTTCTGAACATGTACAGACGTTTTCATGCCATTGCAATTATTATTATTAATAATAATACAGCCTGATAACTACAGATCATTTGTGTGCTAGACATTCTAAGTAACCATGAGATGAAGTATACAGGGGTATGTAAGTGGGGTTATATGCAAATACGATGCCATTTTATGAGGGGCTCGTACATGCACTGGTTGGTACGGGAGGGATCCTGGAACTAATCGCCATGGAGACTGAGTGATGGCTGTAATTATGTCTATTCAGTGGAAGCCAGGAAGGAGATGTCTGCAGAGACACAAAAAATTCTAGATGAAAAAATGACAATTAGCAGGTTGCATTAGACCATCTGCTGCCAAGATCACTGATTTGGTGAGCATGCCAATATATCCTTTCCCAACGAGAACTTTTAAGTGAGTTTGTACGAATGGGTCTTTACCAAGCCCTCTTGATCCTTGGCTGACTGAAATGACACTATACACGTTCTAGAAGGGTGTGAACTCCTAGGAGGAAGGGTGGATCATCAGGGAAGACGTCCCCAGGAGAGCTGTTTCCCGGTAGCATTTCACTGGTTCACAAAGCCCAGCCATTAATGATCAAAATGCAATTTCAGAGGGTTCTCTTTTTGCAAATCAAGGAAAGTAGATCTTAGAAAACATAAGAGATTTATTAAGTGGGTCCCATATCTGTCTGTGTGCTGCTAGGGAGAAAGGACTCTACGGAAGCCATCTTGGAAGTAGAATGTCGCTATAAGCTAATTGATGCTTCAGCAGCTCCTTTTAAAACCATAGCTTAGGTAGGGTGTCCTTGGGAACCACAGGAGACCTTAGGTGTGCCAGCCTGACAGCCAGGTCTGGAAGGAATCTGTTGCATGTGGGAGTTGCCTGTGATTCTCTCCAGTTCCACAGAGAGGTTCATCTGGAAACAGGAGGACAGCTGCATCTTTTCATGCAAGCAGAGGCTTGCTGTGGAGAAGCTCCTGAGGTTGCTCTATCTGTACTGGGACACAGGACACTGTTGGAGGGAGCGCATCTCCTGGGACGCCAACTTACTGTTTCAGAAGGGCAAGGACGGTTGCCAGAGAGACCAAGTGAACTGTGCCCACTGGGCCCCTATACACTGGGCACCTGCTTCTTCCATGACATAGTTTTTCTGTTTCAGACCTTCTCAGCGTATGAGGCCCCCATCTCACTTGGCTGACACTGGAGAACTCAGCCCTTTGGTGACCCCATATGTGTTCATTGCAATAGGATCTCAGAATGTGTGTCTCAGTAGAGATGCTTGCTGGGATGAGGTAGCCAGTTGGGAACTTTGAGTGTATCTCACTCTATCCATGGGAGAAATGTAAACCGACTGAGCTCTCTCACTTGCGCTCTTGTAAGCAGGGTAAAAGAAGAGTTTTAGACCTTAAATCTGCAGAGAACTGTGGGAACCTGCCAAGGTCCAGCCCACGCTGGAACAGGGCCGTTTCACACCGTGATGCTTCCTAGCTGACTGGAACATAGGGTAGATGAGGATTCAGGGAGCTGGACCCTCGCCTTAGCTTCACACTAAGGAACTCCTAACAGCAGTTGTAGGAGCAATGACGGGAGGCAGTGGCATTCTAAGAAAGAAATCGGTATGTTCAGATGGCTCTCCCTGGAGGCATTATGGGAAGGACTGGTAGGATGTCTTTGCTACAGCCACTGCCATCGCTGCTGCTTGTTTAGCCTCTTTCCATGAGGAGTGTAAAGTGGGAGTCAGGCTCCTGCCTCTGTCCTCTCGTGATGGCAGGGATGTTCTCTTTACCTCTCAGGGCTGCTTCGAGCAAGCTACCTAGGAGATTATGGCAATGGAGGAGCTTTGAAATGTGGAGCCCTCGAGACGATAAGGTGTTCAGTCAGTGCAGCCAACAATACTGTTGTTTTTAAAAGGGTATCAGTTCTCTTGTAATCCATACACACACACACCCGTGAAATGGTCCTCTTAGAGAAAAGGAAACTGGAGGAAGTGATGGCCCTGGAACAGCAGGAAGTGTGTGGGTCCCTCCAGACTGCATCGCCAAGCCTTCTCCCCTCCGGAACCCAGTAGCACCTTGAGGACCTCTTAGTCTCGGTCTGGGTGGTTCAGGAAGCAGTACAGCTACCCTGTCACCCCATCTAGGTCTGCTAACAGACAGGCCTGCCCACAAACTGGCAATAAGCAACCCAGAGGAGCCCCAGGAAATGCCTACATGCCAGACTCAGGGGTTCCCCACAGGGGTGGGTCCCCAGTGCCCCCCCCCCTCCACCTCCGGATGAATAAGAATGGTTTCCAGGTGACTCATCTGACTGAAACTCAAAAGAAAAAAACACAGTCAATTAGCCTTACTCAGAGGGAGTCAAGTGCCAAACCTAGCATTGTGTTCTCCGTTATCTCAGGATCTGAAAAGAAAGTCAGGAAGGCCTGGCCCAAGTCTCCCAGAACCAGCACCTTGCCTACTTTGCTCTGGGTGGAAACCCTCCTGGGACTTGACTTATGAGGTGCAATTTCTGACCACTCAGAGTAAGGCAGCTGCTGTTGCTCGGGAGGCAGGATGGCCTCTTGGGGAGAACCACACCTTGTGACCTTGGGACAATCTGGAAGGCTCTATCACACACATAGCGGTTCTATTAAAATTATCAGGCGACAACTGGCTCTCATTTAGAACATGGTGCTAATAATAATAATAATGTAAGCATCCATTACCTTATTACCCGCCCTCATTAGCTGTTTATTTTGTTGTGTTGTGTCTCGTAACATGGCCTCCCATGTGTCCAGTATCTGCAACATTGCCCTCTGAAGGAGGGAAAAGAATCACACAAAACTGATGACTTAGGACTATGTCCTATGCTTCTGTCCCTACCCGGATCCCTGCTGTTCCCTCCCAAATCCTTGGCCTCAAGTCTCTCAAAGATGGAGACAGCTATTAAGCTTAGAGAAGAAGGGCTTCTGGGGCCCAAGAGAAGACTTCGGTTTGTGTCCCAGCTGTGGCAGCTGCTTTTCAAATTACTCCCGGACTCAGCATCATTGGCCTTACCGGGATGGCGGTGCACCTCTGAACGAAGGTTCAGGACCTGAGAAGCCGTGTTTGGGCTCTAGGTGTGTGGTGGCCATTCACTGACACAGCTCTAAGCAGTGGTAGAGGTGGCTTCTTCCCCTCCCTGGCTTCCTTCAGGTTCAGTTTCCTGATGTGTTCACTCGGCTGGCGGTGAAATAGGATGGCTTTGCTGAGTGAGCCTGTACGCATGAGCCGGTTAGCAAGCATCACCATTACAGTTGACAGCAGAGCGCTGTCGGAGAGGAAAGCCAGAGCCTGGGGTGTGGGAGGCAGGGCTGTCGTCTCCTGCACTGTGCTCGACTGGCCTCACCTTCCTCAGGCACTGACTGGTCCCCTTGGCTTCTCGTCCACAGGGCTCTACGTGTTGGTTGGAGCTGGGGCCCTGATGATGGCTGTGGGGTTCTTCGGGTGCTGTGGAGCCATGCGTGAGTCACAGTGTGTGCTTGGATCAGTAAGTGGGGTTTATGAGGTGGGCACGGGGTGGGTCGGTAAACTTCCCTGGAGGGAGTCAGGGGACCTGGTTTGAAGCTCTGGTTCCTCTAGGGCTTAAAACTTTGGAGCTGAACCCTCCCTCCAATGTCTGTTTTCCCGTCTCCTGCATGAGAATGGTATTATCTCTGTTCCTGCCTCATATGGAAAATGTGAAAACAATGAGCTCATCAGTGTAAAGATTTGGGGGGGAAGAGCGCTTATGAATTGATTGTTCTTTAAAAATAATATTTCACTGTGTATGTGGCAGCTTGAAGATTCCCATAGCCAGGAAGAAAACTGTTATCTACAAGGAAAGCATTTTGGCTTAAGATCAACAACTTACAACTTAACAAAACATCCCTCTGTTATCTTATTTTTTTTCTTTTTCTTTTTTTTTTTTTTTGGCTTTTCAAGACAGGGTTTCTTTTTTTTTTTAAGATTTATTTATTATGTATACATCATTCTACCTCCATGTATGCCTGAATGCCGGAAGAGGGCATCAGATATCATTACAGATGGTTGTGAGTCACCATGTGGTTGCTGGGAATTGAACTCAGGACCTCTGGAAGAGCAGCCAGTGCTCTTAACCATTGAGCCATATCTCCAGCCCCTGTTACCTTATTTTTAACCAGCAGATTCTGTTAAAACAACAACAACAAAAAAAAAAAAATAGTTTCCGTTCCCTGTGACCCTGTTACCTGCTATCAGCCCATACTCTGAAGCCTAAAGAAGCGAGGAACAGAGGGAAGGCTTTGTATTTCTCGCAAGGAGCCTGAAGCAGGGTGTTCTGAGGCCCCCTCATTTCCCATTCCCATTGCAGTCTTTGGGTTTTCCATGTCTGCCTGCTGTTCCAGATCTATGGCTGTGTGAAATGTCAGTTTCTTCTCCCTGCCATTCTTTGTTTCTACAAATAAAGCTGGAAAGCTCTGCTGTGTTCATCACAGAGCTGAGTTTAATCAGCAAACTTAAGACGTGGCAGAACGCTATCCATGAGGAGACCCCCACACCCCCACACACAAACCCCCCACACACACACAAACACCACACACACACACACACAGACCCTGCACGTGCGTCTTTCTCCCTCTCCTCAGAGAAACCTTTCCAGACCATCACACTCTGCCCCAAGCCCAAGCCTCAGTGGAAACTTTTTGTGTCCAACCAGATTTCCTCTCTGTAGAACTTGCTCATCAAGTATTTACAGAGGGTGTCACTGCCAGATCCTGTGCTTGGTGACAGGGTTTCACTGTGGCTGTCTAATATTCCCTTGTGTATTTTATAATGCATATAAAACCTTCCCTCATTGACTGTATCTCTTCTGCCCAATACAAGCTTTATGACATCAGAGAGGTTAGGATCTCTTCTGCCACTGGATAACGGTCACAAAGGACAGTGCCTGGCACAGAACACGTGCTGAGCGGCCAGTTGTTGAGTAGAATAACAAACAAGCCATGCAAAAGGGCCTTGACAGCTGCACGGAGGAGGCAAAGTGCCTAGAAGTGTCCCTACCACCAAACTCATAGCCTTACTCAAAGCCTTGACAGCAGAAGGAGATGCAAGCAGGCTAAATAGGTTGAAAAGGTATTAAATGAGTGAAATCAGTGTTTTCTCTCAACAGTTTTTCACCTGTTTGCTGGTGATATTTGCTGCCGAAGTAACCACTGGAGTGTTTGCTTTTATAGGCAAGGACGTAGTAAGTAAAACCTAGATGTTTGTGGGCGGTTGTTAAAGCATTCTTCTTGTGGTAAACAATATAGACTGCTCCCCCTAAGGTGTATTAAGAAACAAAATAGCCCACAAAATCGTGTAAGCAGAACCTTTTAGCCTAGTAGTAGTGTGCAGGGCTCAGCATGTGTATACATGGTTTGAAACTGGTCTATGTTTGCTTGATTTGGGGTTTTGTCTGTTTGTGAACTGGATTTCTAGTTTAAGACTGTCTGTCCCTAGTTCAAAATAAGACAGGCAAGAATGAGGCAGGGAGGAGGAACCTACTTTCTCATTCCTCTGTCACCTGTCCCAAAGGCTTGACCTAGACAGGGGCCACCCTATAGCGAGATGCTAACGCCTGACCTGCTGTGTACAAGTGCAATCCTTAGTGCCCAGGACAGGTTATGAGGGGAGCCCATCGGCACGTGACCTTTAGAAGGATGAGCAGGCTGTGACAGAGAAGAGTGGAAGGGAAGGCAGGCAGAACGGAGCCTTACGAGGGTTGCATTTCCAGTACACTCGTGTGCCACCCATACTATGCTTCTGAGCGTAAGCTGAAAAATGATAAACATGGAAGTGAGTGCCTGTCACCCCTCTGAAATTCTCCTGACATGGCGGCTGGTATCCAGAGGTTACGGACTTTAGTTTATCTCCATATAGAGCCGAAACCTATGGCTGTTTGGATGCATAACATCTTCCTTGGCAGTGGGCGCCTGCCTTTCAGCTGGCAGGGAACCATGTTTCCACAGATTCCACCTCTAGTGGCTCGCCAGGGCAGTGCCTAACCGACAGTGAAGCCCGTGGGGTTTAGAAACCCTTGCTCTATGAGGAGGCTCTGACCTAGGAAGGCCTTCTTGGTCAGTGTCTCCTTCACCTACAGAAGAGTGTGTGGGAAAGCAGTGTTCCCAGAGGACGTAGAAGAGGGGATTCCTCTCGGTAAAAAGAAACGGTCTGCGCCGTTCCGTTCACTGTGTGCTGGTGTCTTTGCAGGCTGTACGACACGTGCAGACTATGTATGAGGAGGCGTACAGCGATTACCTTAAAGGCCGGGGAAGGGGCAATGGCACCCTCATCACCTTCCACTCGGCAGTGAGTAACTCCACTTCTTCCTTGAAATCACACGTCCTACAGATCGCGCATGTGCCAGGCTTTCTCTAATCGCCTAAATCAAAAACAAAAATAAAACCAATGAGTGGAAGCAGCCGCCTCTTATTTTAGCTCTGATGAGAGCTATAGTTTGTGTTTTGGGGAGACCTTTGGCTAGAATGATGTCGACCACAGACTCACGAGAAGTCAGGGTGTCGCAGGACACTGATAAATGCGTGTCGGTTCCTCTCCGTGTGACACTGCGGCATGACAGAAGCCAGCATGGTGGCCTTCAAGCCAGGAAAGCTCAGCTGCAGCCCTGTGGTGCTGAATGAGTTAGTAGCCTGTCGGATGTCCGCTTAACTCGCTCCTAATTTATAAAACAAAGTTTGTGGGGAGACAACTATATTCCCTTCTAGAATGTTCCACGGGAACGTGCTAGAGCGCAGTGCTTAGAGCTACATAGAGTCAAGAAAGGCTTATGGGGGAAGAGGACCAGACCAGGGTCATTCTGTCTTCTTAAGCACTGCACTCTGGTGAGGTAACTGTGAACTTCTGGGCAAGAGTGTTTTCAAAGGCTCTCCAGAGACATCAAGCAGCACACAGTTTCCTTTGTCTTAAACAGCCAACCCTGAGGCAGGCTGCCTGTTTGCCAACCAGCACTCATGCCTGCTCTTCCGGCCCGGGGCTTTCCTGTGGCCACCTCTCCTCTCTTCCCCTAGTCCCTTAGTAATAAGCTCTTCCCAAAGCTCATCAAGTTTTGTTCTTGGGCAGATTTTCAGACTTCAGGTCTGAAGAATGGCATGTGAGATCCCATCCCTGTCTCCAAAGTAGCAGTCTAAGGAGAATACCAAAAATTAACGCCTCGCCTGACACTGCCTCCTCGCTCCTTATCATAAAACCTATGCTGCTTTGGAGAAGTCATGGGCCTGGGTTGCTAGCACAATTCTGTACTTGTTCGTTCGCTCTCCAGAAATAGCAGTGGGGGCCTCAGAGCTGCTCTGCATCCTCCTGGAGCCAGCACTCCCTGTGTCCTAAAGCCGCTTCTCGCTCTCTAGTTTCAGTGCTGCGGGAAAGAAAGCTCTGAACAAGTCCAGCCCACCTGTCCAAAGGAGCTTCCAGGCCACAAGGTAAGCTGGCCATCCCAGGTTCCCCCCACCAGCCCCCTACTGTGAAGAGTAGACTCCACGGGGGGGGGGGGGGGGGGGGGCGCTCAAGTCCTTTCTTGGAGGGATTCTAGGAGGCCGTCTCCCAGGGGATGATGAGTGACTACGCCATGTGATTAAGGTATATTAATTTACTTCACCAGGGCCGGGGATCTGTGTCCCCCCATGTATTCCTGGGACAGTCACAGCCCTAATGAATTTAACTGCTCTGTCAGGTATTCAACAAGTATGAGAAAAGATGCAGCCCCTCCCTCAGTGGCTTCCTAGGCTAGCCCATGGCTGTAGTGATACGCAAGGAGTCTGTCCAGAGAACCACGGAGGCCTAGCAGTATCAGGAACGCTTTTGTGGAAGGCTATGTGGAAGGGCGGTCTTTCCAAGCCAAGAAAGCAGCTGGAAGTGGGTCCTGCTGGGAAGATACTCCAGTGCTGTAGGAGCCCAGCAGCCCAGGCTTTGCACGGAAGGATGTGAGTGACCATGTCAGAGCTCCAGTGAAGTAGTTGTGGAAAACACGGTACAGCTTGGTTAAGGCAGAAATGTGAGACTACAGACAGCGGTGCCGATGCATTTAGGTGCTCAGCGGTGGAGAGATGGGAAGCAGGTTTCAGCTTGTCATGAATTGCCACTGAAAACCTTGCATCTGGCTCAAGTCTGGCTGAAGAGACCATAAGGGATCTGTTAACATTTACAAGAGCTAAGTGAAGGCTACATTGAAAAGAACACAACAGAATCACCAGCCGCCAAAGGAAGGCTGTGGTTGTTGAGATGAATCTCGAAGGGTGAATAGGAACTGAGAGAGCAGAAGAAAGAAAAGACATTCCAGGCTGAGGGGACAGAATAGACATGAGGTGGTCTGAGGGGACAGCTGTTTGCAGATAAGTCCATCTCTGAGTGGAAACAGAAAACCTGGGATGCCTGTGAGAGGTGAATTCTTCAGCTAGAAGGGGCCCATTCTTCAAGAGCTGTCAGTACTTCTCCTGGGGAATCTGTTTCTGTCCATTCAGCACAGACCAAGGAACAATCCCCCCAAATCCAGCTCAGTGAACCAATGGGTTTTACTAGGATTACTTAGAGGAGCATGGGTGGGGACTACTTACAGGGGTCAGCTACTTATAGGTGACCTGGGCAGCTATAGCAGTAAAACTGGCACCTAGCATGCATGACAGCTCCTGAATACTTCATTACCAGAGTCCCCTGTGTGACCTGCAGGCAGCTACACCGTAGAAGAGTCTGCTCTCCCCCAGAAATTGTTTGGTCCTTATAACATTGGGGAAAGACCTGAGGGTCTTGGAACTTTCTGAGCTCCCTGACTCTTGTACATTTCTTGTGAGGTTTTCATGGGCCTGGTGAGCCTCCTTCCCCTCTCCGGGAGGGACTGTTTCAAGGCTTAGATACAGCTGAGGGTCTTACACGCTCCTACGAAACCAAAAGTCTAGCCTTTGTGATGTTGGTTTAGGGGGCCATGGAAGAGATTGGACTTGCATTTTGTAGAGTTTACTGTGATGGTAACAAGAAAGGTTGATGGATAACGAATAGCCTGGAGCTGAGGTGACCAGCTGAAGACTTTACTGCTCCTAGTCCAAATGTGACAAGCTGAATGGGATGGTAGGACTAGAGAGGAGAAGGTAGCATCTTCATTATTGATGGCCACACAGATCAGAGAAGATGAGAATTCACCCCCGGGTTCTGGCTTCCCACTGGTACAAAAGGTGATGTCACTTATTAAATTAACGAACAGAGGAGAAAGAGCCAATTAGAGAGAGAAGAAGCAATATGGTAGGCTTTTAAAGTTTTTTTTTTAAGATCTGTTTTATTTATGTGTATAAGAGAAAGAAAGATGTGGATATGCACATGGTTACTCAGGGAAGCCAGAGGAGTCAGATTCCCTTGGAACTATAGATAGAGGCACTTGTGAGCCATCTGACATGGGTGCTGGCAACCAGGCTCAGGTCTTCTACTCTTCACCGTGGGTCATTCTTCAGTCCCTAGCTCAGTGTTTTCAACACTGCGATTTGGAAAATCTGGCGTGTGGCTTAGGAGAGATGTGAGAGTATCAACAACATGCAGTCTTAGCGTTACAGAGATGGACTTGATGCATGAGATTTTGGAGAAGAGAAACATGCGAACAATAGTCTAAACAACACTACTTACAGCTGGGCAAAGGGGAGCAGCCAAGAAGGCCACTAGGGGGAGGAGTCAGACACAAGGGAAGTGCTGCTGAGGAGATTGGCACAGAGCCTGTCAGGCACTGTGGATACAAAGATGAACGAGAAGGTCCCTACCAACAAGGAACCTACTGTCTAATAGGAGATGTAAACTCTGGAGTTGACACAGTGCACAGGGGCTATGGGCAGAGCTGACATGGTGTCCCGGGAGCTCAGGGAAGGCCTGTGGGAGACACCAGATGAAAGGTGACCTGGTAAAGACTGAGTGTAGGTAATGACAGTTCAACTACATCTTCTACATGGAGCGGTAATTATGTAGTTTGAGCCAAGTACAAGAGAAAGGAGTTCACAAAAGAGGAAATGCAAATGACTGTTACATACATAAAAAGCACAGGCAATCAGAAGCAATTTGAAATTAACAGCAACCTTAAATGACAAGACACCATTGTTTAACATGTGAAATTGGCCACGTTTTCCCCCCTCCTATTAATAGCACAATATGGGCAAGAATGATGTGAAATGAAAGTTTTATTTTAAAAAAAATTGGTACAATAGTCTTAGAGATTAGTACAGACTTACAGCCCAGAATATTAAATGAGTTCATGCCCTTTGGCCTAGAAACTCGACTTCTCAGAATGTATCCTCAACAAACGGAATAATTTTAAATGTGTGCAGGAGCTGGGGAGATAGCTCAGCTCATAAACTGCTTGCCACACAAGCGCAAGGACCCAAGTTTAATCCTTGGCACCTCGTAAAAATCTGGGTGTGGTAGAGCTGACTGAAATCCCAGTACTGGGAAGGCAGAGGCAGATGGTCCCAGGGCTTGCTAGCCTATCCTAATTGGTGAACTTCAGACTCCCTGAGAGACCCACTATCAGCAGACAACATCAAGAATTCCTGTGGCACACACACACACTTTTGTTCATTACAAATAATATACATTAATAACCAAATACAGATCTCTTAAAATCCTACAGTAATATATTGTTTAAATTAGAATATGTTTTATTGCCAGTAGGAGTCACAATTTCAAAAAATTAATATAAGAAGGCATTTTTGAATTTTCTTCATGTTAAGTGGAAAACACACTGATTAATATATAAGTGAGCAGAGTGTGTGGGTCTCTTTATACCCAAGAATCAAGGGTATTAGTTATAACCTTAGTGGAGGACAGATGTTTCTTATTTTTGTTTTATTAATATCTATTTTCCACATTTCAGTGACTATGTATTCCCTTGTGGCTAAGGAACGCCAGCGCATGTTTTGTAATTTGTTTTTCACACAAGAAACTGTCTTTGAATGGAAAGAAGGGCTGCTGGCAGGGCTGGAGGAGACAGCAAGGGACAGGTGGCTTTGCTTGCTTTAGATTGGAAACATTGAGCATGGGGTTACGTGGCCAGAGGTGATGTTAATGGAGAGAAAGAGGCAGAACGTATGGGAAGGAAGGAGGGTGACTGGCAGGCTCCCTGGGAGATGCCAGTGAGAGCCAGAGCTGGAGAAGGGGTTAGCCTGTGGAGAAGGGCACCTGGTTAGCTCCGAGAAAAGGAAGAGAACTTGCAAAGGAACACTTGTACCTTGTGTGTGCTCACTGCCCTAAACAGTGCCTGGCCCAGAGGCAAGACGTGTCTCAGAGGCAGCGGAAAAGAGGAACACTAGAAGTGCCGCCCGTTGACTCGGGTTTTTTCTGCTGTGCCAGGAAGCTGCTGTCTCCAGTAACGCTCCAGGCTTTCACCAGAGTGCACGCACTCTCGCTCTTCTGGGAGACACTGTATCCTCCCTGCCAAGCCTCCGGAGGGAGGAAGCTGGAGCGTACCCCTCCTCATCCACCAAGCCACTATAGTGGCAGATATGGGGTCTGCAGAGCCATTAAACAGAAACGGAGACATAAAAGTGGTTACTGTTTCACTTACGCGGGTATCGGAGGGTGCTAAAGATGTACAGACCCCGAGGATGCATCTGGACCGGAGCACACCTCTCTGTAGGAAGACTCCAAGTGGAAACTTTGGGCACTGGGAAACTAATAATGGTCACGGATACCCCCCTGGATGCCCCCCTCAGCCTTAACCCCTGCCCAATTCCCCCCCCCACACACACACACCGCCCCGCTATGAAGGTTCTTCAAACTCAGGCTTCACAGATCTCTGAAAGGTCGAGGATAGGAACCCATAGCTCAGCTAACACTGGAGCAATGATCTTCTAACTCTCAAGACCTGGTTTTCCTAAGCATTGACTTTCTAAATTTCTAAAATTTAATTCGACTCCATGCAGACTTTTTAGTCTTTTGAAAGATAAGGCATGCCTTGCGTAGATCAAGTGTATAAAATGCCTTGTAAACAGCAGATGACAGTAGGGTTATTATTTAGAGACTACCTCATCTTTCCTTGCTGAGAGTAAGAAAAGGCCTCAAGTTTTGCAATGCCTGAAGTCCCCTGAAACAGCCTCATGACGCTGTGTTTCAGAGCTCTGAAGCAGACCTCTGGCCTGAACAGGAAAATCGCACCCAAAGGGGAGGGTTGCATTTACCTCAGCACCACGTGTTTGCTTCAGAGTTGTCAGGTCGTCGTTACCTGTGAGGGATGATGGTTTACATATGAGCAGAAGCTGGCACGGATGAACTTCCAGACATCGCAGAAAATGGGAGGATTGGGTCAGAGCGTGAGCTGCACAGTTTCCACTGCTGACTATTTTTTTTTTTTTTTTACAAAACAGAATTGCATCGACAAAATTGAAACCGTAATCAATGTTAAGCTGCAGCTCATTGGAATTGTTGGGATTGGGATTGCGGGTCTCACGGTAAGAAAGCTCTAGAAATGTTTTTTCTGCCTTCTCAGAAGCTTTAGAACCTTACATCTTATTTCTCTTCACATTGGAGATGGCAGTATCTTAAGTGAGAATTCTCAAAATGGGAGAAAAAAAAACCTTTGTTTCCAGCACATCTCTGAAGAACAAAACTAATTACATACATCAGAAGTAGCTCTGTAAAATATGACACAGATTCCAGTATCCATCTCATTATGACCTTGAATGTGTCATTGCAATAACTTCCCATGTAAGCCTGCCAGACATAACCTTGGTAAGTGATTTCTGTCTCAATAACACGATAGCAAGTTAGTCTCTGCGTCTATGCCTTGAAGAGGCCGTGTAGGGCAAGCACTGGTACACACAAGCTGGATTCCCCTCCTGGCTCCATCACCTTCTGATAAGCCCTGAGATGGAAGGAGAGTTCCTTAATTTCTCTAAGCTTCAATTTCTTTATTTGTAGTATCTGAATTTTAAACATATCATCCTTACAAGATGATTATGGTCAAAAGAGGTACTACCTATAGCCTGTTGTTACAAATTGATTTATATAAAATCTGAATGGTTTGCAACTAACGGGTACCATCTTTCTGTATATTTCAACTATGGGCAAATCCAGACTTCAGGCAAGGAGAATATCATAAAGAATGAAGCACGCTGTACCCAGCATCTGTTGGTGACTCAGTCCTTTAAAAGCATAAGCGTGCGTGGAAGAGAGGCTGGGGACATAGCCTTGCTGGTAAAGGGTTTTCCTAGCGTATACAAAACCCTAGGTTTAATCCCCAGTACTGCATACACCTGTGGTCCTGTCACTTAGGAGATGGTGGCCAAAGGATTAGAAGTTTAAGATCATCTCCTGCTGCACAGTGAGTTTGAGATATGCCTGAGCTAGCTACATGAGACCTTGTGGTGGGGTTGGGGATCTAGCACAGTGGTAGAGTGCTTGCCCAGCAAGCACAAGGTTCAGTCCTCAGCCTCAGGGAAGGGGGAGACCTTGTTTTGTTTTTAAATGTGTGTTGGAAGAATTGGTAGCCCTGGGCAGGAGTAGTAAGAGAGGCAAGAAGAGCCTTCGGGTCCACATAATTGAAGGTTTTGTGTGCTCTTCTGAGAGGCTGGGCTTCAGGTGCCGTCAAGGCCCGAAAGACCCAAGGTGCAGAATGGATGAGGAAGGTTTGGAGAGAGAGGTAAGATTGGAGTCAGAACCCAGTGAAGAGGTGGTTCCCATTGTCCAGAATTTAGGCAACGGTAGCTAACATTAAGATAGAATTTGCTAGGGCTGGAGAGAGATGGCTCAGAGGTTAAGAGCACTGGCTGTTCTTCCAGAGGTCCTGAGTTCAATTCCCAGCAACCACATAGTGGCTCACAACCATCTTGTAATGAGGTCTGGTGCCCTCTTCTGGCCTGCAGGCAAACATGCAGGCAGAACACTGTATATGTAATAAATAGATAAAAATCTTTTTTAAAAAAAAGATAGAATTTGCTTACTAGTCTATGTGTAGATTAACTCACAGCTTACACAAAGGCAGGGCTACTAGGATGTTGAGGAAATCCATGAATTGGTAGTTCACAGGGGAGACCCAAACACTTTTTCCCTTCTCTGTATCCAGAACATAGGGTGGGACAGTGGCTAGAAATACTATTCTGAGGCACTGCAAATCTGGGGACAGCTCACAAGCCCTCCCCAACATGTTCTGGGGCTAACTGGGCCGCAGCTCTGCAGTTCCCTAGTGATGGTCCTGAAGAAATGCCACCATCTATGGCAAAACATCATGACCAAAGCAGCTTGGGGAGGAAAGGGTTTCTTTGGCTTACACTTCCACATCACTGGTCATCACTGAATGAACTCAGGACAGGAGTGCAAACAGGGCAGGATCCTGGAGGCGAGAGCTGATGCAGAAGCCATGGAGGGATGCTGCTTACCGGTTTGTTCCTCATGGCTTGTTCAGTCTGCTTTCTTATAGAGCCCAGCACCAGCCCAGGGGAAGCACTAACTACAATGGACTGGGCTTTCCCCAATCAATCACTAATTTAAAAAATGCCCTACAAGATCTTATGAAGGCATTTTTTTTTTCAATTAAGGTTCCTCCTTTTAGATAACCCTAGCTTGTTTCAAGTTGACATAAAACTAACCAGCACATGTGGTTTGAAAACACTCCACTTAATGGAGTTGTCAAGTAAACAATTATGCAGTCTCAGCAGAGACAGACAGCCCTGACCCATGACCCCCACAAGCTGAGAGTGAAGGCTCTCCAAAGGGAACCCCTCAGACTATACCCAGGATGAGGTGGCAGTCACATCCAAACTTGTAGCCATGGAAAGGGGGAAATAGCCTTGCTTGTCTGTCTTGGATCAGGAGTTTCTTCTTGAGTTCTTCTTCCACTATGGAAAGACTGCACAGTGTAACACTTAACCAAACGCCCATTAGGTGTCTCCCCGACCACACTCTGGCACCGGGTCCTGGTCAACCATAGACCTAAACTCTTTGCTGGCTGAACCCTTAGCTCGGTCTGCCTTTGCCTGCCCAGAACAACTCATCACTCCTTCCTTGATGCATTGAACAGTCACAGATCCTAGCCTGTCTTAGGATGGGACTGAGGAGCGAATCAAGGTCACAGCATCAAACTTTAAAAATGACCATTATCACTTGTTAAGAGGCATCCACAGGCAGGGTTCCTCTGGCTGTGGACTTGTAGGGGTGATGACTGAGGACATAAAGGATGTCTTGGTATTTTTCTCTTCAAACCAGAGAGAAAATAGTTCCGTCCAGGTTTTTGGCTTCTTAGAGAACTATCCAGGAGACAGAAGAAGTCAGGAATATTGTAGTTCAATAACTTCTATTTATGTTTTGCAGAACTACTGATTTAGACAGTCATGTGTTATTTGCATAGAAAGAGACCAAGAATGAAGAGAAGTTGCACTGTTTCATGGGTCTTCGCTGCTGTAGGAACTAAAGCTTTTCTCACAGTTAGACCAAAAGCACATTTACCTAAGAAATTAAGAAAACATTTTTCTGAGTGAATAAAATAAATCTGAGATTCACCCAAAATATAAAATTCAAAAGCTAGAAATGTATCAACCTTCCGTAACCGTTAAGAACCATAAGCCAGAAACAGAGCCCTTTCTTCAAATAGACTTGTCTGTTAAGAAAGAAAACAGCAGTTCAGCTAGGCTGACACATAAGTCTTGCTAATAGCCATCTTTAAAGAACATATAAGATGTCATTTACAGTCAATGGCATTGGTTACGCTTCTTTCATAACTTGAGCTAGACACGGCCACCATTGCTGATCTTATAGAAGCCGTGTGTGCAAGTTGCTAAGGAGTGTTTTCTCTGTTGCAGATCTTTGGCATGATATTCAGCATGGTGCTTTGCTGCGCAATAAGAAACTCACGAGATGTGATTTGAAGATACTTCGTCATGGAAATGGCAGTCTAGAGTGTTCATGCTAAATGTCACAAGAGCTATCTCAGCTCACTTTTAATATTCAGGATTTTAGAAGCTAAAATAATTTGCTTTTAACTGTACATTTGCACATGTATGTATGTCTGACTCATTACTGACTTGCCCCTTGAGTGAATGTCACGTGTGGTCTGTATGTTTCTGGTATATGCATTGCAGTACTGATATTTGTTTCCTGGGAATCCCTAGTTCGTGTGTGCAGACGGAAAACCTATTGAAGTACCAGGAAAAAAGCGATCAAGTTTTGAAAGACTTGTAAAACCTGGCTGTTCAGGGAATGTGACAATGGCCCATTTCTCAGATTTTAGCCATTTAAGTTAGATCCATAAAGAGAATGCAGGATTTCTAGTTAATGGAAGCAATAAGCTATTAGAATTGAGGGGTCAAGATTAACTGTGTCTGAGTTGAGTGTAAAGGTTTCTTGGCGTATATATATTCTCCCCAGAATACAGTAAACCCACAGTTTTAGAACTAAACACATCTGTAAAATTAAATATAGCATGGAAAATCTAATTTGAAAACACCATACTTTCTTAGTATTTAAAAGCAGAAAACCTCTCTCTGGAAAGGGAAGTTACATAAACAAGCACGTGCCCCGTAAAAGTGAGTGCTTTTAGGACTAAAATTAGCAACTTTTAAGGGGGAAAATGTTGCTAGACAAAGGCATGTAGATGTTGCTTTAACCCTCTCTTTCCTGCCTCTGCTTTGAGCTGCTGGAAGCCTCGCCTTTCCAGAAGGGCTCCCATCTCCCGCTCCTGGTGCTTCTCCAGTTGCAGTGGCAGACAGACAGCAAGAGCGCTGCAGTGTGAGGTTGGGCGAACCCCACAGTGGCAGACAGCAAGAGCGCTGCAGTGTGAGGTTGGGCGAACCCCACAGTGGCAGACAGCAAGAGCGCTGCAGTGCGGGGCGGGCGAACCCCACAGTGGCAGACAGACAGCAAGAGCGCTGCAGTGTGAGGTTGGGCGAACCCCACAGTGGCAGACAGCAAGAGCGCTGCAGTGCGGGGCGGGCGAACCCCACAGTGGCAGACAGACAGCAAGAGCGCTGCAGTGTGAGGTTGGGCGAACCCCACAGTGGCAGACAGCAAGGGCGCTGCAGTGCGGGGCGGGCGAACCCCACAGTGGCAGACAGCAAGAGCGCTGCAGTGTGGGGCGGGCGAACCCCACTGGCACTGCTCCTTTGGAATACCTCATAACTTGAGTTTACATATCTTCCTAATTTTTTGCATTTTTCTAATTAATCCATGTAGAGAGTTCTTTATAGATTTAGAATACAGTTTTCATCCTTTAAAATAAATAAATCCCCCATAACACAAGATATTATATTATGAGTAACATGGTCAAACCAAGATAAACACCTTCTCCAAGATGTGTACACACAACAAAGGCAAGCTGGTGAATCAAAGATACTTTTCTACATACAGCTCCAGCACGTGTGTGTTCTTTCTCAGCAAAGCCCTGTGGAAAGCAGTGCTCAGGTTCTTTGGGGGCTGAATGGTTGATTTGAAGTGGGAAAACCCAGCCAGAGCTTAGTCTTTTGACTGCAAGAGGGAAACCCCAGAGCAGGGATCTAAACCGGCAAGTTTGTCATGATTTAACAGCTTGTTAAAGTGCATAAATTACAGATTTTAACATTGTATTTGACCACACAAAAGTGAGGGTGGGAGGAATTTTGGAAACCCTAAGAAGAGCTTCTGTGCCCACTAGGAACACACAAGACTTTGGGTATGTGTTAAAGTGCTAAGAAACTTCCCAGAGCTTTTTCTTTCAGCCGTTCTTGCTACTGCTACTAGCTTTAGAGAGAAAAGTGTGAGGGGGTTGACAGTTTAACTGTGCGTGACTACTCTACCTAAGCAAATTATTAGTTTTTTTTTTAATTACTTCAAGTTTTTAAACCCCAGTCGCTGACAAACACAACCTTTGAAGCAAAGAGGCCCATCTTATAGCTTCGGTTTCTATGTCCGCCTGAGGACAGAGAGCAGGCTGAAGTGTGTCCTCAGGTTACACCAGCTCAGAATTATTTTCCGTTCAGAACTGAGTTTCATTCTCTATCTGAATGAACAACTTGAAGGAAAACCGCAGGAACTATAAGTGGAAGAATAGAAATAATTTTTTTACCGTGGAGGAATAAGTCTAGAAACCTGTGCTATGTGTGATTAGTGTACCTCCTGTGGCTTAAGCTTTCCAAAGAATGTGTGCGTAAGATTAGAGAATTCCATCTCGGAGGAAAGATGGATATATATCTTTATGTGAATAGATAAAGCTATATCTATAGAGATATATAATCCCTATGTCTTGACCTATACATATCTTAAATACATATCTCTTGAGGATTTATACATATGTAATTTTAATACATGTGTGCCTGTATGAAATTATGGAGATAAATGTTTGTATGCATACACATGCCCATGTGTATACATTTTCAGTTGTTTCTGTATACCTGAACTAATTTGAGATCAAACCCAAACATTTTAAGTTATTTCAAATTAAATTTTCTATGTACTTACTCTGCTTGAGTTCTCTTAAAATCGTAGTGTATCTTTTTATCCACACTCACATTCCCTATTAAAATGTGTTACCCAGTTTACCCAAACAATGTTATGAAAACAGATGGGTGACCCCTTCCATTCTGCCATTGTGAGGTGGACCCAAAAGCAGTACCCCAACAATTCTAACTGCATACAGCTGTGTTTAACTAACTCCAGTTCACCCAAATTGTTTCTCTTTACTCCAGAGAAGCATGGTTGTCTGTGGCTTGGCCTGTCAAATGAATCCTGGGTCCATTGTGGTCCTCCCGCAGCAATACCCATCCCTTCCCTGTGACGCCTCTAATGATGTGGCTGCCCGAGAAGGAGACTCTCGGGGAAATGATGATAGTCTCAATAATAATCTATAAGGAACAGCATTCTCTCCCTTCTGAAATATGTGTTCCAAATATTCAATGAGTTGCTGTCTTGTCGCTGGTAAGGGTTTCGGTGACCCAGAGGCCAGCCACTAGGACTCCCCACAGCCCATCTTTCACGGCCCCATTGACAAGCTCTTCAACACCAAGTCCATCTCATTTCCCCATCACTGAGAAAGAACAATCTATGGCTCTTGAAGGTGGTGCTGACTCAATCAGTGCTTGAATGCATCGGAATCAAATTGGTATTTGTATGTATTTTAAGAGGGACAATTTTTCTTTTTTTCTTTTCTTTTCTTTTTTTTTTTTTTTTTTGGTTTGGTTTTTTGTTTTGTTTTCAAGACAACAGGGTTTCTCTGTGTAGCTTTGGAGCCTGTCCCGGAGGTAGCTCTTGTAGACCAGGCTGGCCTTGAACTCACAGAGATCCGCCTATCACTGCCTCCCCAGTACTGCGATTAAAGGCATGTGCTGCCACCACCCAGCTAAGAGGGACAGTTTTCTATTTTCTTTAAACATGCCCCATTTTTTCACTAGAAAAGAATTTTTTCTATATAGATGTTTTTTAAAGGTGAAAATATTACAGCAATATAAAATGTTGTTATTTGGTGTCCGTAAGGGATGCTGTCCACTGGAAACAGGGAAATCATGACTCATACAAGTACCATGCCCTGTGTTTTACAAAGCCAGTCTATGCTGGCTTCGGAAAGTGTTGAGGTAATATGCCAGAAACCTTTTTGTGTTTGGGGTTTTTCCTCATGTATATTTTATAAATTTTTTTACTCCTACCAAATAGCAAAAAAAAAAAAAAATTAAAGAAATTTAAATTTCATGTTAATTTTAAATAAGTTAATAATAAACATAAAATACTTACCATACCTAGGAACACTGAATACTAGCTATTATAATTGTGGTTATACTCTGACAAAGAGGTCTGTATAAGTCATTTTCTAAAAATCATACAAAATTTAAAATAGTTACACATGATCTCAATTTGCTATATGAACATTTGTTAAACCCATTAATATCTTTTGATTTTCCAATTCTGGTTTAATTCAAAAGCTATATAATAGTCACATCTGGCATCTATATATTTTTCTCTGGGCCTGCTCCCGCTTGTAATATGCATTCTGATTATTGGGAGGTTTTTTGTTTTGTTTTGTTTCTTGCTGTTTGACGTTATCTTATGAATTTAATGGTCCCTTAGCAGATTATGGACATGACAAGGTAAGATTGGAAAAGTAGGCATGTATTGCCGTAGTGCTATGATAATCATTAACCCAGAGTGGGCCCACTCAAATTTGGGAAACGTGGTCCAGAGAAAAACTTCCTTGATGTTGACATCTTTGGCCTGACTCCTGAAAAACACTTACACACTGGCCACTGTTGAAACAGAAGAAACTGTGTGCTTTTGTCTTCAGAGGAAAACATACAAGAAGGCTCTGAAATAGTACGTGAAGACATTCAAGGAGGGCTTGTCCCAAACTAACAAAATAATAAATAAATAGCCCCAATAAATCTTATTTTTGTCCAAAGGTAAGGAGAAAAGCTGTAAATAGTGGATTATGAAAGAAAGCTTTAACAAACCAAGCTTTCAAGTATCAAGACTTTTAAAGATAACTACGTTTCAGAATGAGGAGATGGTGGCAAAGACCAGCCCTAAAGATCCTAACTGATGTGCTTGGCACCCACCCTAACACAAAGTACCCAAAAGAAGCCGGATGTGAGAGTGAGAGAGGAACCTGGGGGGCGGGGCTGGGGACTCGGTAGATTAAGGCACTTGCCACCAAGCCTAATGGCCTGACTTCAATCCCTGGATCCCACGTGTGGGAAGGAGAGAACAGACTCCCACAAGTTGTCCTCTGCCCTCCACGCATGCACCATTGTACATCTGGGCATGTGCAAGCACACACAGACACACGCACACACGCACACATGTGCACGCACACACACAGCTTTTAAAAGAGGAGAAATAAACTCTTTGGGTATATGACACTGAAGCTCAGAAAAGAACTCTAAGATTGCTGTAAAGGACTTTCTATAGAAAAGTGAGAGTGCCCAGCTTCAAATAAGATAAGCCACCACTCGCCGTTAAATCTCCAGTGAGAGGGGCCGGAGGTTCAGTGGTTAAAAGTGCTTGCTGCTCTTGCAGAGGACCTGGGCCTTAGCATCCTCATCAGGGGGTTCACACTCCTGTAGCTCAGAGAGCACCAGCATGCTTATGGTGCAGATAAACTCATGCAGGTACACACACAAAGAAATAATAAATATTTTTTAAGCCTTAATGAGAAAGCACAGTTTATGAAATCAGAACACTTGTTGCCCCTACAGAGGACCCAGGTTTGGTTCGCTGAATCAACATGATGGCTCACAGCCATGACAACCAGAGAACCTAATGCCTTCTTCTGACCTCTGTGGGTATCAGGCGCATACATGGTACACACACATACGTGAAGGCAAAATATAAATTTTCATAAAATAAATAAATCTGAAAATTTTTTAATTAGAGTGCTCTATGCTAATAAGTTAAAAACCCTGCAACAGTCATTTATTCCTCACATATTCCTTAACCTCAGACTCACAAATTCTCTCTGAGCGGCCTGTGTTCCTGCAGTAGCCGACATCTGGCATCTAACCTCACTTCTAGCTAAAGAAAAGCTATGGTTTCTTTAAGTGGAAGCCAGCTTCAGATTACTGAAATAGGTACTTTCTTAGGACATCCAAGGACAAATTACTACAAATTCTAATTTTTTATATGTTCTTCATTTAGCGGTGTCCAAAGGACCAACAGGACACTTGAGATTACTGCAGATCTAGATTTTCCTTCAAAGTTTAGAATCTTCATACCTATATCAGCATCAAGCAAAATTATCCCCCAACTACAGTCCAGACCTACATTACCAGCTAACGGCTATAACATAGATTTTAAGTCATCCTTGAAAATGAAGATTAAAAAGAAAATGCATATTTAAAAATACGTGAGAGGCATTGTGGTCCACACTTGCAGCCTCGGCACTTGGGAGGCAAGGACAAGAGGACCATAGGCTCGAAGCCAGCGGGGCTACATTAAAAGTTCAAGGCCAGCCTAGGCTGAGACTTGGTCTCAAAAGAAAAATGAGAAAAGGCTGATTTCATCCTCATTAGGACTAATCGAATGCTGTAGCTCTATAGCCTTGTGAATGCAGGTATGTGTTCTTCACCAGGCTCTTTGGAAGCAAAGGGATCAAGACAAGAGCTGTCTGTGTATTGGGTCACTAACTAGCCACTGTCACCCTTACTGAAACAGCTTCAAAGAAGAACAGAAGTAGCATACAAATGGTAGTTTGGAGAATGAGAAGTAAGAAAGTATGTGGCTACTATGGCTGACTTTTTAAAAAGCCCTAGAATAATAATTCATGGGGGAAGTAACTAGAACACTGCACGGAGTTGTAGACTTTTTCTTTTTTTTCTTCCTTCCTTTCTTCCTTTTTGTCTGCGTGTGTGCGGGTGAGTGAGGTCACAGCTGTTTCCCACCAAAGAGAAAGGTCAAGAAAGAGGAAACGAACCATGACACACAGCGAGGGAAGATGCGCACTTAAGGGATGGTATTAGGGACATCTGAAACTAAAGCCGCTGCATCAACCAAGGCTTTTCAAGTGCCAGTGTCAAATGAGAAAGTGGGGCTTTCTTTAAGGGTGGGGGCTTCAGATTATACTCAAATGTAATCAGGGTGTCTTTCTCCTCCTCGGGCTGTCTTAGTCCCCTCTGGCTTGACTCTCTGTTTCTAAGAGATGCCAAAGATGCCCCCCAGTGGCTTCAATCCCCAAACCAAGCCCTCCTTTTCACAGGTGAAATTGAGTTCCAGGAATGACTCCCACCGGGAGGGATTGCAGTCAGCTCTCTGCCCAGCTCCTAACCTGAACATCATGCCCCTCCATCAGTCCAACTTGAGTCCTGAAAGCAGGCAGGGGAGAAGCAGCATGCAGCCACCAGGAGAGACATGTATACTGAGTGAAGTGGATAAAGGGGAGCTGAAGAAAAGACACTGACACCGAATTGTCTTATAAGACAGAAAAGGAGACATTAACTACAGCAGACAAGCAAGAAAAATCATTGAAAAATAGACTAGAGAAGAAGTAACCTCAATACGAGGATTTTTGTGTTCGCTCAGACTTGCATTTTAAAGATGGTTTTGTTTTATAAAGGAGATTTTCTATTATTAGAATTTCCTATTACCAGGAAGTGCCATGCTATGCTGTGAACTTGTGACACATCCTTGCTGCTACATTCTACTTTTTCTCCATGAATGTGGCCATGAAAGACTGCTGCAGCAGGGGCCCCAAATCCTTGAGTTTTGAGAGAGCTCTTTATAGTTTATATTTTAGTCAAATGAGACTTTTTTTTTCTTGGAGCATTGAGTTCCTCTGGTAAAAAACTGAATCCTTTGACCTTTACAGGGAACTTAAGGATCACTCCCAGCGATGCTCCAGTGTCTGCCTTTCACCCACATTATAAGCAATGAT